ACTACTGCTGCTGCTGCTACTACTACTGCTGCTGCTACTACTACTGCTGCTGCTGCTGCTACTACTGCTGCTGCTGCTGTTGCTACATCTGCTACAACTACTGCAGCCAATGGTAATCGCTTGTCTTTGTTTTTACGCCCCTGGCAGACAAATGAACATCTCTCCCCTGCATGAACATCGCTTAGCAACCGCTAACATCAACTGCATGTGATTGGATAGTGATGCTGCGCGGCTGACAACATCTCGGCCAATCGTAGCCGTAGTTTGTGATCGTGTGACTCGTAGCGATAGACAATCGTAGCCGTAGTTTGTGATTGTGTGATCGTAGCTAACCATGTGAGTGGGAGGGTGGCTGACACTAGGGGGCGCCAATGTTGCTGGAATGATCTCATTGGCTGACGGGGGTGCCGCGTGCGGGATAACAAGCTGAACGAACAGCAAGCCAGGGGTTCGGTGACGGGATGGTAGCGCACCCTGGTGTGAAGTCACTCTACTAACAGTTTAACACTAGTTGACTAGCGATCGTGATTGGTGAAGCCGAGTAGAAGCTATGGTTGGCTAAAAAAAAATCAGCGACATCGTTACTGTGACAGTTTGTTGCTTGTGGTTGTAGAGTGTTGCGCGGTGTTGTGACTGTTGTTGGTTGTAGTTGGAGAAAGTTGCACAGTGTGTTCTGATGGTTATTGGTTGTGATTGTTGAGAGTTGTGTAGTGTTGTGGGAAAGTTGTGTGTTGTGGTTGAAGAGAGTTGCACCGTGTGTTGTGACGGTTGTTGCTTGTGGTTGGAGAGAGTTGCACTGTGTGTTGTGATGGCAGGTCGTGGGCGTTGCATGCACGAGAGCGGGGGTTAGGCCAAAACAAAATATAGGTGTGGTTACGGTTTCCCGACCGACCCTATTTATTTCCAGCGACCCTAAACATTTTCTTGTCAATTTTCTTTAAAGTCAAAAAAAACAAATTTTAAAACAAATTTAAAAAAAAGAAAGAAATGTGTGGTGACCGTTACATGCCGAAAAAAAATAGGGTAGGTAGGTAGGGAAATCATTTTAT